TTTTTTTTCATGAGCCAGATGGTTGGTGGAGATCTGACAACTTTCTCCTGAATTAAAAAGTATGCAGAGCTCCCTGGGCACCCATGTTTTGAGAGATGGACATTCTGAACAAGAACAATTACACTGTATTGGATATAGACATAGAAAAAGTGTATATTTACACTTTATGTGACTTTTGACACTTTCTAATGTCCTAGATCACGGGTATCAAATTCAATCGTGTGATGTGATGTATCGTGACATATCATGACATATTGACTTTGCGGAGCCAGGGTGGGTATGGTTTGCGCATGACACATCTGACCCGCAGGCTATTGGTTGGGCTCCCCTGTTCTAGATGGAAGGCTATGTAAGTTAGATTGCTGTGTCTAAAGTTTTACAGGTCAGCTGCCTCCAACCAAAAGTAAAGTGACTATACTGTACACCTATGATCTTAGATCAGTAGTCAACATTGTTCCTAGGAATTTCCTCTTGTATATTAGTACAATATGGTCCAATCAAGGCACTGTCTGGTTGCCTAGTGGATTTAGTTTAATTAAATTGACTTTATTGTTTTCTTTCTAAATTCTCATCTGGGAGCTATCTAAGAAGTGGGGACTTTGAACTGGGTTTATAGAAAGAATGCCCTACTTCAATCCGGTTCTGATTAACAACAATCCCCAATCTTAAACTAGAATTTCCAGGGTTCAGTTGCAAGTGAAGAATAAGAGATGGATTTAAAACAAAACACAAATATAGTTTCATATATACTATAAACATCTATTCCCTGGTCACTTTCTTACTGTGGAGAAAATCTATGTTGTTCAGTTGTTAAAAATACCAATATATGCTTTCAGACTACACTGTGAGAGACTTTGAGGATTCCCTATCCCTACTGTAGCAAAGCACAAAGGCCTCCTGAGGCAGGGCCTTTGTGCTTTGCTTCCTTTTTGTGAGGAAATGAAGTCTACTCTAGGTCACACATGTCAGGAATGAGGATATTAATCGTTTTTAAAAAATTATTTTAGCATTAAAGTTACCATACTGCTCTATGGTAGCCATATTGGTAATTATACATAAATACATAAAAATAAGCACACATCAGTGGTGCTATTCTACCGGTTCGGCCTGGTTCTGGTGCACTGGTAGCGCTGAAGATCAGCGGAGACCGAACTGGTTCTCTCTGAGGAGCTGCTGTTAGGCCCACCTGCCCGCCCAGGCTCCCATACTGGCTTTTATTCCCTGCTTTTGAAGCACAGCTGCTTTGCGCGGCACAGCAGATTGTCACACGTCACCTGCTGAAGCAACATAGAGTGGAGGATTGCAGGTGGCGAGTTGGACTCTGCACCTGCGCAAAGTGCGCATTTGGCATGTGCGCACAAAGTGTGCGCATACACACAAAGCACGCCCACTGAACCAGTGGTAAACTATTTTGAAACACACCACTGCCACACATGATCTTTTTAGCCCAAAGGCTGAGAAGTAATTATCTGTAGAGAGAAAGATCCATTTTAGAAAGATCCAATGGAAATCTTCCTCATTTGAGAAATTAGGCATTTCTTCTCAGAACTATTCAAATTGCAACCGCTGGAATTTGTAGTGGTTAATTTTTAGGGTGCCCTCTCTGTTTCTCCCTAATCCTCTACCACTCTATGGTAGTTCTAGGGGACACACGAACAGACATCCCCTTACTATCCACATGGTGGATAAGTCTATATGTACTTATTTTGTGTTATTAATATTTTTAAAAAGCTTAATGTTAGTTTATCACTCAAGGGCAATTCTTCTGACACTGATGGTTGGTCTTTGTAGGGTTTTGGGTTTTTTTGAGATACAACAACCAGAACCAAACACAGTATTCAAAGTGTGACTAAGATATACAAAGTGTGCAAAAGGTTTATTGAATGTTTTATTTTCAATCTATTTCCTAATGATCCTAGAAATGGATTTGCATGTTTCTCAGCTGCTGTATACTGGGTCAATGTTTCCATTGAACTATTCAGTCAACCCAATATTTATTTCTTGATCAGTCCAAACTGTTCCACGTAAGCCATGTACTACAATAATAGGCTGAATTCAGGATTGCAGTACTTACCTGCTTTTCATTATATTCCCTAAGATCCACCATGCAAAATATGGTGCAAAAGAAATGCATTTAAGATATTGAACCTAGGAATATGAATACCAGAATTCAATGAATTTACAGTTCTTTTGCACTAAAAAATAATTTAATGTAATTTATGGTTGGGCAAGTAATTTTGGTGCTACTACTGCTAGAAAAGTATGTGGAATGAAAACAAATCACCCAAAGAGATCAACTGCTTTCTGCCCATTCTTGATCAATAGTGATTAACATTTATGCAGTATTATATATTCTATATATTCTTTATTTTTTCATACAACACAAATATTGTATGGTTTATGATTATCTACAAATAAAACCCACTGAATAAAGAACAAATTAAAAAATGCATGAAATTTGAAAAGAAAAAGGGAAAATCTAAAAGGGAATGAAATGAATACAAATGCTGCATCTTTTTTATCACATATTGCCATTGCTTTTACATAATTTTTTCTACTAATTTGTATTAAAACTAGAACACAGAATTTGTGTGGCTCTTAAGGTAACATAGTCCAACTTTTAGCACAAGTAGGAGATCCCATGTAGCCCAAGAAGAAAATCCAGTACAAACCAACAATTTGGTCAGCAAACCATTTGATCTATTAAGGAATCTTAACATTTTCACAGGGGCTTTTGTCAATGAAAACCCAGTCAACTAATCCAGACTTAGTTTAACTCAAAATAGCTCCAGGATATTTCAAACTAGATTAATTAACCCTATGGTCAATGGTGTTATCCAAATAAATGTAAGATTACCAGGGCAGTTAAGTGTTTTCAAGAAATGGAGGCTATCCTTGAGCACTCCAACAAAAACAAAGTTTCTCTCGGCACTATTTTTGTCATCTTGTGACATGGGTCAGTCCCAGAGGTGGTATTCAGCAGGTTCTGACCATTCTGGAGAACCGGTAGCGGAAATTTTGAGTAGTTCGGACCTTCCCCTGCCACGCTCACCAAGCCACACCCACAGAACCGGTAGTAAAAAAATTTGAATCCCACCACTGGTCAGTCCTTGAAAAGAAATGGCTAAGCCTCCACTTCAGTTCACAGTGGTGCTCTTTTCATATCACTGCAGGTATATTTTCTTTCTTTTTATTTCAAAGAGAAAAATGGGACAATATTATAGTTATCCAGCTTCCTTTCCAGTACCTGTAAGACCATAGAAAATGGTTGTCCCATAGTAACATGTCATCAGCAATTGTGCAATGCAATTTGGGAAATGAGTTAGTCTTTCTAGAGAAATGGACTGGGTGTTCAGCTGTGTTTATGTAACACGGACATTGTCGGATATTCCCAATACTTTGTTAAATTGCTCATATTATAATTCCAAAATATTGGTTTGCATTCTATTCTTTGAATAAAAACATTATTTATGAAAGTCTCTCAAAGTCTGAAATTGTTATGTTTTTTCAGATTTTTCTCCTAGTTCATGGTCATCTTTGTCACCTTTTGTTATCTAGAATAGAACAAGGATTGAATCTAATGAAGTACTTAGTGGAATTCTGCTTGCATTGGAGGGAGGGGGTATAGAAATATAGAATCATAAAAATAGTCCTTCCGTTCCAATGGCAATTGGGACTGGAAACTCTTGTCACTAAGTGATGCAGTAATAGTGCAATGCCATATGACTGCATGTGGGATTGCACTATTACTGCATTGCTCAGCAATGGCAGTCCTGGTTGCCATAAATGAGGACCTTATAGATAACTGAAGGTCTCTTTTGATCACAACTTCCTGATGATTTCCCTGTTGACTGCTTGTCAGTATCACTTCTAGCAAGAAGATACTGATGAAATTATATAAGCTATATTTACAGAATATGCTTACTTATAATGTACTCAATCCAATTTCCTGGACTGCACAACCCACGGAATTAAGTAACCAATCATAGTGGTTGGGCTTCTGCTAGTTAAAATATGGTAAGACTACAACGTGGTCCAGGGTCTCATCTGATTTCATTATAGATTGTCAATACATTCTAGCATGAACAAGCCTACAATTTTACCAGCTTGGAGTAAAAGTATGAAGAACCATGTTGCAATCAAATTATACTCATTTAGCAGTATTCTAGTGTTAAACTAGCATTTTATACAAATTAAGATAGAATGATTTAAAAGAGCAATTCAGTATTGGAGCAAAAGTATTGGAGGAATTCCTGCTTTGCAGGACTTGTGCCAGCAGGCATGAAAATGAGCAGGGCTTAATATTTCCTTTATAATTGCCCGTTTTATTATTAAAAACAATATTATTCAATTGCTGTGCCAGTTGAATAATTTTCACATTGTTTCTGGAATATGTCAGAGGGATGGTAAGGCTTATGTTTTGTAATCTTGCAGTTGCCTGCAATGACCAAAATTAATTTTGGAAAAAAATGAAGTGGATTTCTATCAGTTTATCAGTTACTTGTAAACTGCATAACAGTTACTTGTAAACTACATAAAAAGCTGTAATAGTTAAAAATAGAACAGAAAAAGGCAGAAATGAAAGCAGCAAAGGGGACTAATAGTCATTTGACATCCATGGTGCTACAAAGGGCTCACAAGGATGTACAATTACTGATTATGATTTAACAGCGACTATATTTGAGAGGGAAAGCCAGTTTCTTGTAGTGGTTAAACCAAGTTATGACCCAAGAGACTTGATTTTAGACTCACCTTAGGCACAAAACCAGCTGGGTGTCCTTGCACCAATCACTTTCTCTCAGCCTCAGGAAGCAAGCAATGGCAAAAAACTTCTGAAAAATCTTCCCAAGAAAACTGAAGGGATTTACCCAGGTGGTTGCCAGGAATCAACACTGACTCAAAGACACAAATGCAAACACAAATTCCAAGTACCCAATTTTGAAACTGCCAAACTAAGATAAAACTAACAAGCAAGTAGAAGACTTGGAAGCACAACTTGGAAGCTTTTATATTCATTTAATTAATGTCAATGTAGTTTACAAACGGGAATGACAAGTACCTTTTTATAGAATATACATCGACACACAATCATTGACACAACTTTAATACCACCTTGTGCAGCTGGGAATCTTTGGGCAAAGACAGTTCATTTATTTTCAAGCTCATTGAGAGAAAGGAAGGAGCAGCTACAGAGTTCTGCAAAATGTACCTTCTCCAGAGAAGGAAAATAACAAGTTAGGTTTTTGCATCTGTCTTAACAGGTTTCTCTGCTCTCCTTACTCCTCAAGAAATAAAAACGTAGGGTCAAATTTAAGTTTAAAAATAAATGCTAATAGTTATATGTGGTTTTACATATATTCATTTGGCTTAGAATTAGTCCACAGGACCAGAAAACGCTCTTTATTCCCAGTGCCAACTTGCTGGAACATGAAGGACAAACCTTTTCAGTTTATTGTCTAACAGATCAGGGAGAAGAATAATCGTGCACTTAATGTCCCAACAAAGACTGTTTGATTGTATTGGGCAAGCAGGTTTTTGAGCGACACATGGTATCATCCCCATTACAACAAAGTTAGGAAGGTATAAGTGCTATACAGTTCTGGAATCTTGGGCCCAAACAAATAGCATTCTAGATGCTTTATGGCTCTTGTAAACTGTTGCACCTTCAGGATGCCAGATCAATATTTGCTTGAACCAATTGTCCTTGTCCCCTTCCTACCCACCTCCAACAACTAATACGAGCTACAAATCAACCTTCAATATGTTGCTTAACTGCTGCAACATTTTTGACAGGGAGACACACTGGTTCAGATGGTTTTGGGTATTCTGGAGCTCAGAATTATTTAAGGATAAAAAATAATTCTCCATAAGACAATTGTTATGTATATGGGGATGAAACTGTGTCATCATAAGAGGCTGATTGACAACAGATGTCTTCAACTTGCCTTCAGTGCACTACTCAGTTTGTCTCAATAGGAATAAAGAATCCTGGACTGGGAGAAAATCTTGTGGTCTAATCAGTATCATGCCAAAGGTTTTCCCAATAGCATGATAATCTAGCCAGATGTTTTAGTGCAATCATGTCCTTCTGAGGCTTAAATCCACAAATATAGTATAAGATGGAATTAACGAAAAAAGAGAAAAAGTTATTTAGTAGACCCAGGGCCATAATTCCATTAATTTTCACATTGTAACCCCAGTTTAAATAGTGATTTATAGGCTTACTTGCCTGTCAACATCAAGCAGGCTGGTAACTTCCTGTCAGAATTTATAACAACTTTGTAAAGTGTTCCCTGAATGGACTACAAAATGGTATGTTTGGGGGTGCATGCAAAAACTGTTAAGTTTTTTTTAAAATTAAGGCAGGTAGTGGTTCACAGGGTTATTTTCAAAATGCAGAACAAGGGCTAAGAAAATGTTTCTGTCAGGAATGCTGAGGAAATGAATGGAATCTAAATTAATCTAATTTTGAACAAACCCAGATTACACCCCACCATTACCACAGTCCAAGCAGAAGTGACAAAAGAAGGAAGCAAAGCTGGCACATACTTATTTCCTTTTCAAAATGAAACATGAACACCTGAAAATTAGATGAAACAGCTGTTAAGAAAAATATTCCAGAGTAGAACAGACTGCCAGTAGTTGGACCTGGGAACACGTCAAAACAGAATGCTAAAGATTCTGCCAGAGGTATGATAGAACATTGGGTGTTTTTCTGCATTTATTTTGGGGCCCTGTTCAAATTTAATTCTTGTAAGCTTGCAGGTTGATGAATACAATTACATTTGGACAAAAGATAACTTTAGCTTTCACAAGACTAATTGGCCTGAACACAGCTATGCTAACAATTCCATCTGTAACAGGCAAAGACCATTGTTTTCTGCTTCGTGTAAGTGCCTATCAGAGTTCACCACTAATGATGTCCATTGTTACTAAGGCAGTTGCAACACTCCTAGATGGCACACCTGGAACCCAAAAATTAAAACACGGCTGAAACATCATATGATTGCCAAAACTTTACAAGATTTCAGACATGTTTTTTTTTTAAATATTTTGGTGCCTGTGCCATTGTAGAGGGCTGCATAAGAATGTTTAGTGCCTGAAAAGTCTACTGACCCCTGCTATGATTTTTCTCACAGGCAATGGGATAAGCTTGCACATCTATGTTTTCCCAAGTGAAAAAATGGAAAAGGGTTTCAGTGAAGCAAGTATTTTATATAAATAGCCCATTTAACTGTAACAAATGAAAGAAAACCTGTTTTTTTCTATTTTCCCCAGAAGTCATGTAAGTTATGGCCGAAACTACGAATTGTTAATTTCATATCTGAATGAGGAAATATACACCACAGAACATTAAACCATTTATATTATATATATGTATAATATATATTTATATACTTTTCTTAAACTAATGACTTTAATGCAAAAACTCTGCAGAACCAAGAAAAATATGGGTTTAATGTTCTCTGCTTATTTTTTCTCTTCTTTTTTTAAAAAAAGTCACCCCCCGCCCCAGGAAAAAATAAAAAGGAAAACATTAGTATGTAACGTTGGAGTCTATCCCATTTATACACAACATTGTAAACATATAGTCTATATTACATGTGCTTCATTCTGCCTTTGTGGATGTGAAGGTATAAGTTTTTTCTTTTATTAAAAAAATTCACTAGAACACCACAAATAAAAAGAGGGCGGGAAGGAGACTGCAAATTACAGGCTCGGACATTTCCTGTGGTGGAAGATCCAGCACCTTCTCATGCTTCCCTGAAAGGTCTTGCAAGTTGTCCACGATGGAACCCCAACTCTTTGAGAAACGGGACAGACGTGGAACAGCAGTTTGTAAAAAAGGAAAAACGAATCACAATAAGGATTCTGGTTTGGCCTTCTTGTGGAGTGGGCAGCACCAGTGACAGGTTCGGAAGCAGAGGCATCGTGCAGCTCCCTTAGCCTCTAGTCCACTTTTGGAGTCTTTAATTTCAAGTGTCTTTGTTGCTGCCACTCCTTTTCCCTAGTCCCCATAGTTCAAGCATCTCAGCAGCCATCTTTTTCATAAGTAGATGCGCCTGAGGTCCCCTGGTGAGGTGATGGTATTGCACTGAGGGCACAACTTCTTGGCACCCTGTGAAGGATTGAGAGAAGAGTTATGAAACATAAGGATGCTATCTCAGTCACACTGTAACATAAGAACTAAAAGGAAGTACCAGTGGTAAACTGTATCCAACCATTACAGGAAACAGGCTGTAAATGGTAACCTTCATGAATACTATACAACTCAAAACTAAATCTCTCTGAGATGCTGTGCATTCAAGAAATCTCTCAAACATTGCACAGCTGAAAAAAATATGGGGAAAACATTATCTTCAAATTCAGAGACCAGTTGTAAGAATGCTTACTTGAGGTTGTTTCTGCCAAAGACAGCAATACCAGGTATTAGGGCTGAGCATGTATTTACTTTTTCAACAGAAGAAAATGGTGTGTCTGTTAAATTTTGTTGAACAAATAATTGCAAAGTCAAATTTCCAAGGTTCTTTTGTTCAATTAATATTACCTTTAGCTTTTGTATGAAGTTTGAATGAAGATAAAATTGTGACTACATCCACATAAATAAAATAAAGAAAAAACACTTCAGTGAGGCATACTTTTTCTCACTTCAGTGAATCATTTGTCAATTAATCTGATGGATTAATTCTAAAACTCAGAATTAGGATAAAAATATGGTGGAATTTAATGTTAGCCTCTAACTTTGGCTGGTTCCCTGTCTGTAATCCTATTTCTCTCTTGTCAATTTATCCAAATATTCCCCAGCAAAATTAATGGGATGGTAGCTATATGAATCCTCAGCTGGCATAGATGATGGTCTCAAATAGACCTGTCTGAAGCCATTGCAGAAATGTCACATCTTTGGGTCCAACAGACAAAATTGGCTTGGATAAAGTGGGACCCTCAACAAGTGAAGTTTCTTCCCCTGGTAGAAAACAACATCCTCTACCACATTTTCACACAGGCAACATTATAAATTATAATAAGTACTTTTAGAAACAAAGAAGAATCTGATTGGTAGTTGAAATTTCTCTCAGAACCTTTTACAATTTTTGCCTTTACAGTGTCTTACAGTGTCTTAGGAGCTTCAAACTCTCATCTTCTGTAACATTCTGTCACACAAAATATAATATAAACACACACAAACATATGCGATGAAAATCTGGAATATGATCTTAATGTAGTCATTTTTCTAGAAACAGAAGAGTTCCACTGGCAAAACAGTACAACAGTTAAGCTTTGTTGATCGCCAACACCGGGGATTTTGCCATACCTGATGGTGCAAAGGGGAATCAAGAAAAAAATTCTGCCTCCCTATCTAACAATAAGAGATATACTCCACTTGGGAATGTGGAGTATAGGCAAGTTAACCCCCTGAATGCATTCCTAGAGGAATGTTTAAAGCCCTACCTAAATAAAAGACACATTCTCAAATGCTTATTGTGGATTTATCTTGCATAAAAATCTATTGCAGCCAAATCTCTAGATGATTTTAAGGCATTTTGTATTCTAACAATACTAGTAATACAAATGCTTGTTTGCAACTACACAAGATTAAGTAATGAAATAAGATTTAAAAAAAACCCTTTAAGGTGAATAACATCCTGAGAACAGCCAGCCTTTCTGAGCCATATGGTGTATCTGAGAGTTGAACACAGAACTATATGGCCAATCAGTTATATCCAAGAAAAAAGGTTGGTGCAATATATTGTTCATTTGAAAATTTGCAGAGTTATTTTCATTTTAAATATTCTCAATTCCACATGAAACACTCTATACAAGCCTCAGACACATGCACTGGCACAGAGTCAAAGAAAAGATTTCACTGACTTCCCAATTCCCATGTAACTCACTTGCCAGTTGTGATTACTAAACTTTTATTTTGAAATAAAAACAGTGAAATAATTTGCCACACCTGTTGAATGAATGAATATATGAACAAACACACACACACACACACACAAACACACACAAAATAACGCAACAAAAAAAAAAGTCAGAAATGTTCTACTCCTTTCATCATGACCCATGGAAAAGTCTTGATGAGTAACAGAAATATATACTGAGTGAAGGCCACCTCAGGCTTTCCATTTCCAGGTTTTATAAAACATGGCTGTAAAATATAGCTCCAGGATAAAACACAGCACCAAAAAGAAATAATTAAGAGAACTTTTTGTTAACTTCATACATTCTTAATTAAAATTTGGCAGATATTGATTCTGAAAATTGATTAATCATTTTGGGGAGTTCAAAAAATAATGAGTACCGCCCACTTTTAAAGTCATTACTTCTCACAGAATATCAGAAGAACAGTGCCTTGACAAAAGAGCAGGGGATTTTGCTTTAAATTTTAAAACATGAAAACTGAACTTTCAGAGTCTAAGTTACAATAGAATAGAACAGAACAGAAATCTTTATTGGCCAAGTGTGATCTGACACCCAAGGAATTTGTCTCTGGTGCATAGTTCAGAGTGTACAGTATATATGAACAGCAAGTAAAAGGTTGTCTAGATTAGAAAAGAAGTAAGTTGCCACTGCAGATTATTTAGATAAAAGCTGATCTGCACCAACTACAAGAGAAATACGTGGTCAGCTCATGTGCATGAGGTAGAGTTTTAAACATATTAAACTGTAAAAAGGACATTGGTTACAAGATTCTGAAATGTGTATTTTCATGTTCCTATTATATGAGCAATGCGCATGGACAGAAGTAAGGATTTCAAGTAAGCTAATTTAATATATTTAATATATTTAAGCTAATTTATCAAAGTGAAGATAAACACTAGGTTTTCTATCCTTTTGAATTGATCAGCAAATCTCAACATTTTAAGAATGCTAGCAGAACCATCATAACTTGATCACTATGGAAGAATGCCCATTTACAAACTGTCATTAGAGTTGGTAGTTTTAAAAGATACAGGAAAGCAAACTGAAGAAATTAAAGATAACTTGTCCCATATACAAGATAAAGAGGGAGTTGAACTTTAAAATACAAAATGATTTACACCCTTTTAAAGTGTAATTTTTGGTTTCACAGAAAGACAATGAGGGAAAAAAACAAGTAAATATGCAGTAAAGGTAACATCTGAATTTTAACAAATCTTTAAAATTTCAGTTATTTCTCTTGTTCAAAATGATGCTCGCTTAGCCCCAAAACCCATACTCTCAGCAAAGAAGATCCATTC